TTACAAAAGAACTTGTTTGCCTTTGGGCAACTTTTGCAGATTACGAAATGCGTAGGTACGCGAAAAGTTACATTGCGGCTCGAATTAAAACCGCACTTTTATTATCAACTATTGGCTGAGTTTGTAACGCTGAAAACGTGCTTTATTCGATGACCGAAAGCAAGATAAATCTAAGCGACAATACCAACACAACAATAGGTTTCAAGTTTTCAAGCTGACAAAAGAAAAGTTTTCACATAAATTATTTTTCCTCAAAAGATTAAAATAGATTTAAAGATTACATTACCAAGAAAAGTACATATAATATCTACTTTGGCGGTTAATCTAAGGTTAAAAATGTTTTTTTTTAATACATTTTAACATAAAAATAATACATTATTATTTTCTGCCCACTTTATCGATTTGCCTAGTTTGTCCTTTGTTTTTTTTTTAACCAACATTCAGTAAATAAATATGTACGCAATGGCTTGGCGCGTTATGAAGAGCAAAAGGTAGTCCGATCACGTTCGGGTCACCGCAACGTGTTTCCCGTTCCAATCCTATCCATCCCCCGGACCTGCCAAAAACCCCGGCAAAGTCAGACTGCAGAGGATCGAGGTTAAAATATAGATATAGTCTATATCGTCATCATCAACCCCCCGCTTGCCACCAGCCGGACTTGTAGCGCAGAATTATAAGCAACGTGAGATAAAACTTCTCGCCGGCTGCTGGAAAAAGTTTGCGACGGCGGACGATGTTTGTTTATTGCGTGGGATACGAGACGCCGTTGACATTTATTAATTAGATTTTTATTTTTAGTCGCAGCGAGCGAGCGCACGCAGGCAGGCGACGCAACGATTAATCAATTTTTGCACAGTTTGTAAGTTTTTAAAAAAATAGCCGGCTAAGTGGTGATTTTAACATCGTTACCAATTCGCGAGGAAAATCTGATGATGGAAAAACATGACCTGGAGTTTTTAAAGTTTTCATTAGAAAACATTTTGCTGTGCTTACAGATTTTTTATCAACGTCGTGATTTTTGCAAATTATGCATTATTTGTGATGCTGAGATGGTAGAATGTGGGGAAGATGATGAAAAGGAAAACTTGATATTGTAAGGATATTTTTTAGAGCAAGTGTGCACTTATTATGCTTAACAAGTTTAAGTAAACTTTAGACGATAACAAAAAGTGATAGAGTGAATATTTTGCTAGTTTTGACAGAAAATTAATTTCAAGACGTCAAGAATGAAAATTGATATTGTGATAGTCTTTGTTAGGGTTAAATTATATTCACCCCTTGCAATATTAATATCTATACATTTACATATTCTAATCTTGCTCAAACTGTCATATCAAGTGTTCAGATTCACTTTATACAATGAGAGATTTGTTTAACTTATAACATTAAATCATTATTTATTATAAGATTTCAAGATTTGCTTTTTTGAATTTTTGATTTACTGCAGTTCACTTCTTCGGATCTCAATGGAAATGTAAAAAAGGTCATCAAGTTTTGGGGCTGTGCGAGAAGTCGAGTGGAGTCGACATAGGTGATTGGCGATTTTGCTCGCCCGGCTTTGCGAAAGAGAGCTCTCCGAATATAAATCGACAATTCGGAAATATGGCCGCGTCGATCCGCAGTTTATGCGCGGTCCGAATGCAAACATACCTACATCGATATTGAATTTATTAAAAAAGAGAAACCCCGAAAAGCCCGAAAGCCCCGAAACGCAGAAATCGTCGGGTTCGGGGTCGTAAAACTTTTATAACTTATGGAAAGCATCCGAAGACGCATGAGCGCGGAACCGGAGCGGCAGTGAGCAAGCAAATCCTAATAAATATTTTAATAAATTTTAATAAAACCAAATGAATACGAGGATGGGCCAAACGCTTTCGCCAACATTATACGACCGGCTATCAATTGTTAAACAAATGGCCTCCAGGTTTTCGTTAAACCTTTTTTTCTTTTTTTGTTAAATAAGTAATATCACCGTTTTCAAGGGTCATATTCAAAAAAGAATGATCGAAGGATTTTGGACTTTTGTTAGTGACTAGAATGACTCAGCTTACTATCTACATGCTACATAAACTAAGCATGATTTGAAGAAATATGAGAAACCTACGGTTGTTTTTGTCCTGCAACACATGGTATATTCTTGAATGACAAAACAATGAAATGAAGTAAATCCTTCGATTTGTTGGGCCGTTCCGTAGAGTAAATGAAGTGTAATCCCGGCCACTTGGAGCTCGCTCAATTTTTGTTCCTCGAGCTTTGGGCTTTTGTCCCGAGTCACTCTTGAGAAATATCCTTTCAATTCAAGGATTGAAGAACTCTTGAAGCAAAGAAAGCGAAAATTCGCGCTAAAAACACAAGCCGTTAATACCATTAAAACGAATTTTCTTTATGCAATTTCGGCCGTTAATTGGAATCGAAAAAGCTTCAAGAAAACTTTCCCATCTAACTAAAGTAAATCTTTTTTTGTGCGCGTTTTTTTGCAATTGTAATTCTACGGCGCACTGAAAGGGCAAGTTTTTGATGATTCAGAGAAAGCTCCCATTGGAGCGCAAACTCCCCCAATAAACATAAGCTCGCGAACAGTGCTTAACGCGCCTAATGCGATGGATGAGATGGAAATGAAGTCTTAAGACGGTTTCCGTCTTTCTGTCTTTTCGTCCGCCCTCGCGAGATGCGTCTCCCTATTGCAACGACGAAGTCATAATAAATGCGGTTTTGCGTCGCGGCAGACAGATATTTGCAAATTAGCTATCTGCGCATAATGTCACAGGATATAGACCAGAAACGCGATGAGCGAATGCGTCAAGCTAGCTAAGTGAATAAACCTAATGCAATACGGAAGCAAGGGAATTCATGTCTGATTGGCTGTTAGAACTTATTTAGGCATTGATTTTTATGTTGTCAAAAATACCGTAGCTATATAGGTACGAAAGAGATGCAAGTTTGAGCAATTTTTGTAATAGTCTTGTATTTTTGTATTTTTTGTTCGCTTTGTCTTGGGAGGTAACGGCGACATCATAAATCTGCCGAGACTAAAGCCGGAATCAACGCAAAGCCGGATAAAGATACCTTGACAACGCGCGCCTGTCCGCCCCGTCTGACTTTCAGCCGCCCCCTGTAACCGTTCCAAAATGCCAACCCCTTAACGCACCTAACTCACGGAAGGCATTCTTGCATTTTCCACTAGGAAGACATTCATGACCTGGAAATCCGGCTAAATTCTACATGAATGTAATTTTACTTTTCAATACCGGAAATAAGTACCAAATTTTGACAGATCATGTTAGTATTAATAAACAAACATATTTAATCTTTGATAAACACATTTTGGAAAATATTGATTTGATAGATTTACGTCTCTCAACTCGCAGAATAATTATGTATTAAATTATGGAAATAATTCAATACGAAAAATTATAGAGAAGAAAATGCAGTTGCTTTGATTTTTTTAGTTATTAAAATTTGGTTGATGAATTTCTAAATTATTTTTTATCTAATGAAAGCTGCTAACGCGGCAAAATGTTCCAATTTGATATTCTGATTAGAATTTCCTGACATGACAGGAAACATGGCAGTGTGAACGTCTGCAGTGACACTGAGTGGACGACAACCACGCCAGGCGTTCCAGGACTTTGTCCAATTCGATGAAATATTCATTGAAATTGCATAACTTGCCACGTAACTAATTCACGACCTGAACAAAAACACGATAACTGCAAAATTAATACTTTAAATAATAAAACTAATCAAAATAATCACTCAGCACTTCAGAATATATAATTTACTCGTTAGAATACTTCATTAATTTGATTCATTTTTGGCTCTTAGCGACGTTGTTATAGGTATGTTGTTGTTGGATGCATAAATAACTTTGCAAATTCAAACTCATTCGGCGTGTAACTCTCAAATAATTTGATATTATACTTGCAAGTAATGTGGTTATCACAAAGTTCGCGCAAACGTCGGCGAGTGCTCGTGTGTAACTACAGCAGCGCAATTTGTGCCAAATTTAATTAATAAAGGAAGGTATTGACGTTGAATGCCGAATTGGCACAACTTGCCGTCAACGGCGAAAGCGCTCGAGATGCCACTCTACTGGCGGTACGTTGGGGAAAGAGGAAAAGTTTGGTTTGCAAATTAACGAAACTAATTGGAAATATTACGAATGGGAGAGGAAATATTTGAGTTTGGAAAATGGCAAACCAAATACCAAATATGCTACCAAACATGAAAAAGCACTTTTATCGCAAATTGCAAAAAACTCATTCCTAAAAAAAAATCAATATCGGCTACAAATACCTAGAATTTGTAAATAATAGCAATGATTTTTAGTATTCCGGGCAAAATGTATATTTAAAATTACAACAGAATATCGGGTGCAATTTGGAGGTTAAATAAATTTTAATCAAGTGTATTTTACAAATGACAGTGATTAGGTTGCGAGTAAGATAGAACCAGACATGATTAATACCAATATTAATAATATTCTTTAACACGAAAACATGCCTGCACAGCGGTGTAACTAAGCACCTAGGCATTAATAAGTGTCACTTGATCCTGTTTGATTTCCGGGATTAATATCGGCGCTCAGCGGCACATGGTGAGGGTGGTGAGAGTGGTTGTGGCACAGGCCGGTTGGAAATATGGCATACATCACTTTTTGATTGCGGCCGGTGTATCGAGCAAGCGAGCACTTGTTTTGTCGCAGAATGACCCGTTCTCCGGGCACAACCCTTGTTATTTGTTTAAAAGTGGTGCTTTGACAAAATAGCAACACACAGAGGGTGACAGGTCCAACCAGCAGGTTCAAAGTTAATCAAATTTAATTAATTTGCTTGTTTATTACAATATATGTTGGTACAGTGCACAAAATAATAAATATTGGTTTTATATACGTAAAAATTAATTTTAGATTCAAATTGCACTGTTAAATTTTGCGCCTTACGATTGAAACCCGACAATACCCGAACAAAACTTAGTAAACTACCGTTTCCCGCCAAAAATAATCAGCTGCTTTATGTTCACGGCGTTTGTTATGTGCAGTATTGTTTAACAGTAATTGTTAAATAAAACTAAAGTGTTAAGTGTGTGATGTGGTGAATATTCGATTTGATGCTGGCAGTTTGTAAAACTTTGCCAGGTTAATCAGTTTTTGCGCTCTGCTTCAATTCGGCGTACTTGGTGCGCGAAACTTTTCGTGCGCTCGTAAATCATAACCGCAAAAAACTTAAGAGCAGCAACTTTCTGCTACTCTTATTCCGTTCGCAACGTTCAAACATTAATCAGACACAACTTTAACATCAAGTTATTTGCGTCTGGAGTGTTGTGCTGTTTTAAGTTTATTGGCAGTGTGTGAGAGTGATAAACAATTGTGAAACATGTCATCATTATTATCAGCTGAACTGGTTGCTACCTGCAACTCACTGGGATATTATGATGTACAGCAGAACAAATACTATGCTGATGAGAATACCTTAGAGAGTGTTAAAGATTTGATTAGATATCTGAAGCGAGATGATGAATCTCATGACATTCGCAGGCAACTTGGGGAGACAAAAGTGGTGCAGACTGATTTATTGCCACTTCTGAAGAATTATTGGGAGCAGACTGATCTGTTTGATGTGCTGATAAGGTGACTGATTAGTATTTAATTATTTTAATCACATGTTGTATATTATACAAGTATTGTAAGTATTTTTTGAAATTTACATTATGTGTATATTTGGTTGCCGCGCATAATAATAGAATAACTGGAATGTGTTAATTTGATCTGGCATCCCTCAGATATACCTGCATATATTGAAATCATTGCCAACGGTGCTTTGTGTATTTATCGTCAATAATACCGCTAATACTTTTTAATTTATTGCGATGAAATGCGTCGGAGCATTGAATTGCGAAGCTTAAAACGGCAATTAATGGCGTGCGTTTGTTTGGTAGTGGTGATTTGGAGATGAAATTTATTGCGGCGGGGTAACAGGGGTGCGCTAATCAACATTATTTACGTCCGAACGCATTCATTTAGCATTATAGCGACGAGTTCGGCAGGCCGGTGATTAAAATTGCTTTGTGTTTTCGAAAAACAATAATATAATCCTAAAAATCATCTAAAACCAATTTTAAATTTGTAGATTGCTGGTTAATCTCACCACACCTGCATTGATGCTCTGGAATGAAGAAGTTCCCACGGAGAGGACTTCTCGTAACCAATATTTGCAAATTGAGGATCATTTACGATTATATAAGCAGGCGTTTACTGATGAAGCAGTTTGGGCCGTTTTGAGTACGAGAATCAGTAAAATATTAGAAGTGGTAAGTGGTTATTATATTTTGGTTTCACCCTGTACACCCTGCTAATTCTCAAGAATCTTTGCGGCGATGTGTTTTGCGCGCAATTAGCCGGAAGCAGGATCGCATTCTTCGCGAACAGACATTCATGCTCTGCGCATTAATACAATTCGCAATTAGGTCACTGGACGAGAACGACGCATGCTAACTTTATAGTTTGACTAAACGTGCTAATTATCAATGCTTCACCAGCAGGCGCCGGTGGTGCTCCGTGCTCCGTTTCTTCGGCTAAATGCTCTCGCGCCACTATCAGCGTCGAGAAAGTTTGCATAAGAAGTCCTTGAGTCCCGCTCGCGTTTCATTATTGCATAAATTAACGAAGCGCGCAAACGGCGCGTCGCCGAAGCGTGATTACGAACAAGGAGGCTATTTATTTTCTTCAAAGCCGGAAAAACTACAAGTTGAAATAAGTAATTTTATATTTTTTTGTTGACATAAAATGTTAAAACTTCTTTCAAGCAGCTTTTCTTTTATAATCATTGAATAGAAATTAATTAGTACACGGCAGGAACATCAAACGAAAAACATCACCCACCGTGCAACACGACTTAGGCGAGACTGTTAATGAAATACTCGTTTTGCAACGGTTTCGATTTTCTTTTGACGTCGCAACAAATCCGCAGATGTATTAAATTTGTACTCGGTCGACAATTAAAGCGGTTAATTACAAGTTCGAACATTGATTTTGCAAGTTAAGGCTTAAATTTTAATCTTTGCCAAATGACTAAATATTCAAAAAGTCGAGCCAAGTTTAATCAAGCTGTAAATATGAAGGAACTTTCCGAAAATGAAGAAAAATTATGTTTTCCTCGAGAGTTTCTTCGATGAACAGCGATTTTTTTTGGGTGAGCGAAGGGAAACAATTCGGAAATTCCGATAATTAAAACTTTTCGCCGAAGTTTTCCAACTTTTTGGCCCTCTAACAGAGTGGACGTCGCTTGCAAAAGCTTTACTCATCCTTGATGTTTCTCGCTGGCGAATTGTTTATGTAGTTGTTTACGCAATTTGTTCGACATGACGCGCGCGCGCCCTGAAAACGTTTGAGAGCGGAATTTGAAGAATTTTTGGTTAATGGTCGGCGACGGGATTAGTTAACTTGCCGGGGCATTTTTTGACTGAACGTCAATGTTTATTGGAAAAGTTTCGAAGCGGCAAATGAACACGCCAATCATATAATTGCTGTGTTAAAATTTATTAAATATATATTTTGCAAAACAAAAAGCGAAGCCAGTACAAAAAGCCGCTTTTATTTGTGAAATATAAACATAAATATCGATGCGTCCACCGGCATTTGTATGCCCAATATGTAAATGAAACCGCTTTTCATTCAATTTGACTTTTATTAATTAAAAATTAATTCCGCGAGCCGCACACATTTCGCGACCCAATACACAACGAAAATATCGAATGCCTGCATTGCTATTTGTAATCACATTTATGCTGCAATTTCTGTAATTTTTTAACGATTAGTTTTTGACTGCAGGCTAAAACGCAGCGAATCGAGTTTCATTTCCGAGTCTGAAAACTTGATTAAGTTATGAGAATGGCATAATACCGTTTTTGTGCGCGTCCATTTCTTTCAGCCAGTTTCTTTTGGGCTTTTTCTTCTTTGTTTGTTTTTTTGCGTGTCGGTGCTAGGTCGGATCCGATGGCATTTCCTGCGTTCGTCCTTTGACCGGACCGCAGGCACTGAACTCGTGGACAGGACAGCCTGCGCACTGCCAACGCCAGCCAGGCTTATATTTATTTTTTCTTTTTCTACGGGTTTAATTTTCTTCTTCGTATTATTTCGTGTGCTTTGATTTATTTTCTTTGCGAAATAATTGGGTAAACATTGATAGACTCTTCCGTCTTCGTTGCGGTCTGCATCTTGCCTGAATTAAATAAAAATAATAGAGTTTAGGAACTTTTCTAAACTATTAAAGAAATTCGTTGTGTGTGTTTATCTTTTTGGTTCTGCTGTCTTATGTCATATTCTGTGGTCGTCCTATCATTTCCATCAGGGTTATTTTTCATTATCTCTGGCTTTATCTCTGCGCGCCACGACATCCGAGGCTTTTTCAATTAACTTTTCCAACTTGCGACGCGTCTTGTGCAAGGCAGCGCGCACGTGTGATGGACATATTAATCTAGCGTTTTTTCATTTGTTAAAACAGTGCGCATTGTAATCATGGTAAAAAATAATTAGATGGTGTTTTTTTAAATATGTAACTTTTTTTTTGTTAAATTGATTTTTTTACTCAAATCGCGATTTTTACGTGTAATTAACTCTTGAGACTAAGTCATGACTTGCCATTAAATTGACTAATTAACCAGTTAATTAAACACGTAATAGCTTGAGCCGGCGTTTGGCGGGTTCAAGTTACGCCAGACTTTCTTCGTAAGACTTTCCAATAATTAACGCTTGCCGTTTCGCATCAAGCGCTTGAAAGCGGCGCCAAACTTCATTTTTTTTCTCACTCTCCGATAATTATTTTGTATATAGGACGTCGGCGTGCGCCCCGAAGAAAACGGGCTCATCATCGAACGTATTTTAATCCTCGTCCGGAATATTCTACACGTACCGGCCGATCCGGACGCGGAAAAACGCCCCGATAACGATGCCAGCGTGCACGATCAGGTGTTGTGGGCGCTGCATCAATCCGGAATGCTGGATATCATCTTATACGTCAGCTCGGCAAACGAGAAAGCTTATTACATGCACATTATTGAGATCATGTGCTACATGCTCAGGGAGCAGAACGCCAAGGAATTGGCGTCGGCGGCGCTGCAGCGTTCGCAGAATGAGAAAATGCGCGACGAAGCGGAATTGCTCGCGATACGACACAAGGAGACTAATAAGCGACAACAAAAGGCCCGAGACTTTAGTGGATCCAGGTAATTTTATTTATAAACATATTCTTACACTGTTACAACAACAAAATTTGTTTATTTTATAGACATAGCCGTTTTGGTGGCACTTTTGTGGTGAAGTCAATGAAATCCATCTCAGACAATGAACTCATCTACCATAAACCATTATCAAAACTGGATGAGATTGATTTTGACGGTAACAAGTCAAAACTGAAGACTCCAAAGAACAGGGCTCCTTTAAAAAGCACAACTATGGAACGTAGATCAGCGTTTTCCATTCGTTTGTTTTTGAAAGAATTCTGCATTGAGTTCCTTAACGGCGCTTACAATACTTTTATGTATACTGTCAAGAACCGATTAAGTCGCCAACAAGCGCAGAAACACGATGAAACTTATTACTTGTGGGCTGTGCGTTTTTTTCTCGAGTTTAATCGCAATCACTCATCCGATATCAAATTGGTGTCGGAAACTATGTCCGTAGACGCCTTTCAATACGTCCAACGTCAGCTGGAACAATATTCTGAGATGATGATATCCGATAAAAAATGTGTTCTACTGTGGGCGAAGCGCTTGCATGTAGCACTTCTAGCCTACAGAGAATTGATCTATACCCTTTGCGCAATGGATAAGTCTAAAGACGAAGCTGTGCGTGCTTCGTCTAGAGTGATCAAAAGCAACATTTTCTACGTACTCGAATATCGCGAATTGATCCTACATCTAATGATACAATACAACGACGTTACCATGACAGCCGAATATTTAAGGGATGTCATCGAAACGCAGCATGTGTTTCTAAAGATGTTTCAATCGTATTGTGCCGGTAAGAGTTTACTGGTGGAGGAACAGGCGAAGCGAAAGAAGAAGTCAGCACAGAGTAAACGTGAGTTCTCTTTGAATAATGTTCACTTAATTAATTTAATTTTGCTTAATTTGGGTTTAATGCATGTTTGTTGATATTTGCTTAGGTGCGCCGTCAAAGCCCAAAGGGCGCGAGAAGTCTGTGGACTTGGAGGAGCTTTGGCAGCACACGTCCGCCAAGCTTGTCGAATATTTGGACGGGAGTTTAGGGGTTCGGGAAGAAGTTCAGTGGAAGGTCAGTGGAATAATAAAAGAGCGGATGCCAGGCGAAGATGGGAAAACACCTGAGGCTAGGTAATTGAACAAAAATTTGTTGCTTTGAACGTTTATCAACAATGTGTTTTTTTTTTGTTGCGTTTAGTGATTTAGCAAAGTTAGGGGTGCAGGTATTAGCATCGGAGAACGAGTTTGAAGAGGCTATTGCACTAATGCTTGAATCAAGGTTAGTAATATTCTTTTTTGGTTGCTATTTTATTTTAATAAAAATGAACATTTGTTGTGCAGAGAGTTGTATCCTGAGATAGTTCATCGCTTTGAGGATACTACAGAGCAGTTAGAAGAGTTTCGAGCAGTCTTCTTCACAATTGGTAAGTGTTTACTTTTATATTATTTGTTACATATTAGAACAGCTTGTTGCGGACCTATAACAAATTAGATTGCCGAAGTTTGGCTTTCAAAAAGGCAGAGGAAAAAATATTTTATTGTTTCCACTTGAAAATATAGGAATTTAATATCGGGGGTAAAGTTTCCGCATAACAAAAACCCATTGTGGCGTGCGAAATCTTAAAATTCGATTATGTTTCGCGCGTAATTCGATTACAACGCCATATTTTCCGCCTGATTTTTCCATTTGCACCCTCCATGCAAAACACAACGCGCCCGAAATTTCATTACGCTGTTAATGCGTCCCTATTGCGCCAATTATAAAGACCAACAGAAATATATTTTTTATCAAACATTTGAATTGTACTCGCAATTAATGTCATTAGTAACCACACCCGATTCGTGTTTGGAACGGAATTAGAACATATTTTAGTGCTTTTAGTTTGTTTCCCTTTCGCCCCGCTCCCCGTGGCTTGAAAGCTTATTGGAATGGATGCAGACCGTGCAGGACTGATGCAGGAGTGCAGGTAGACGGGCTGGTTTACGCCGCGTTCGATCGCCAATTAAACGCATTCGTAATTAAATTTGGTGCCGGCGGCGGCGCGGCTCTTGTTTGGCCGGCGGTATGCGAGCGTGGCGTGCATCATCAACCCCTTTGTTGAGCACATATTGCCGTTGTTATTGCTTTTGCCCCGTTACGATAGTGTACCAATTGGCGGCGGGCGATCGGCGGGTTGCGCCATCGGAACGAGGCCGCAAATGTGGTCGTGGTGCGCGTTTCATTGCCGTTTGCGATTTTGCAATTGTAACTGCACGTCGATGCCGATGTGTGTTAATAATTTCTCGCTAGAATTGCAATCGAAGCGCAGCATCGAACGGGTATTTGTTTCATCAATAACATGCTGGTTCCGATTCAACCGAAGTTTTTGTTCCATATGCAATTTGTATTGGAACTGTAAACTTATTTGCTATAATTACAAGAATAAAACTTTTCTAAAGACAAGAAGATTTAACCTTGTAACTTTTAATGGCACGCAATTGTTTTTATTTTCACTAAGAGCTTCTAACAAACCGGGTTAATTCCTAAATAATTGCGATGTGTCTGGAATCGAATCCATGAAAAAAAGTTCTCTAAAATCCCCTGGGCTAAGTGATTTTGATTGATATAACGACACAATCATCTTCTCCTTCATCCCCATGCCATATAGAGTCCTGCTGACTGTTGGATGTGTCGTGCAGCAACTTGAACTCTGCTCGACTGGCAATTTTTTTGCTTCTCGCTCATCGAGGGTTTGAATTTTGAATGGCAGCTCGAAGCCGGCCCCGCGCATACACAGCCACCCTCCCATCATGCTCGTTTATCGCTGATAACGGTGGCGGCGGCTGGGGTGTTGCTACTTGCTACAGCTGACATTTTAAGCGTCGCCTGGCGTCGCGTTGTTAGCGATCGCGCGTCTGCAAGAAGTCAGCCAGTCGCTGGCGCTTTGGCGATAAGCGAAAAAATCCAAAAGAACGTCTAGACGTCGGGCCTTGTTTTTTTTTTCTGTTTGCTTCTGACAGCGGGCAATTTTTATCATCATTCATAATAAACCTGAACAGGATTTGCTAACAAATTGAGAAGCGAGAAACAAATTATATCATTGTTGAAATTTTTTATTTTTTTATTCTTCCCTAGTTGTAGGTGTGCTTTTTTTATTATTGGGTATTCTATTGCTTTCTACGCGTATCTTTCAATCGCACACGTGTATAAATTATATTGATGGATTGATCCTTTGTGATTTCACTCCCTTTTATCACTTTTTTGAGTATTCGTTGTATTCGATTTGCCCCTTATTCTGAAATGCCATTTTTGACGACGTTTTTGCTTTCCTCTCGCGTTTCTCGAATTTCTTCAATTTCGATTTAACGCAATATATTCATTCCCACCCTCGAGATTTTGAATTTTCCTGATAGGAATTTTACGTTAATTAAATTATTTATATTTGATGCGATGCTGAGTTGCTGTTTCGAAATTCAGAACGATTCAATTACAAGCTTTTCTTTGGAGGGTATTAGAAATAAATTTAATGCAGCAAATTACTTTATTGTATGCCGTGATAAGAGGAAATATCTATATCTTATTAGGAGAGCATAATTGAAATGTCGATTTAATACGATTAAAGCTAAAAATAAATTATTGTGCAACCCAAATTGTAACAATAATTTTAAGAAATGTTACGTTATGATTTATGAAATAAGTACCAGCATCTGTTTGCCAACTTTAAAACATTTTAAAGCACAAGCAGATGTTGATACAGATGTAAAAACTGAAATAAGCATTCAACAAAAGCTAAATTCGCCACTGTTCATAACAACCGACAAGAAAAAGTTTAAAAAAATGTGCACGTGGCCGGAATGGCGATTTGGTGATTTCTTTCATTTTATTTTCCAGCATTTTTTGTACGTTTGCCTGGTTTTTTTTTGCTCTTGCTTTTGCGTTTTAGTTGTGCTCCGAGTTTAACTTTAACTTTCCCTCGCCGTCGTTTTTTGCGCTATGGTTTTTCTTTGGTTCGACGCGTCGCCCTCCCGACGACTTCAAACTCTTGTGTGTCGGCAGTTGTGTTGCGGCGTGTTATTTCTCTGCGTCGCGGCGCCCTTTTCACATCCCTAGAAACGTCGCTGGGCGTTTGAAGGGTTGAGCGCTAACCTGTGCGCCAAACAGCACCCACCCGCTTGTTCCGGTCCGTTTGGTTTGGGAATAATAAGAACACGCGGCACGGTGAGGGGGGATGCTCTGGAATGGGTGGAAATGCGGGAAATACTGGAAAGAGTTGGAATATTTGAGTTGCGCACGTGTCTAATATAGTGGCACGGTTCTCACTCTCTCGCACTCACACTGATTCAAGAAAATCGTGTTTATTCACAGGGTGTTTAATATATTTTTTGTGGAAAATATTTAAAACCCTCGGTGTAAACTGATTTCGCCTCCGGTGTTCGTGCCACCACGTTTGCACCCTTACAGAATGTTGGTAGCCGTCATCGCCAGCGGCGTCCTCGATGTTCGATGTTCAAGTTAAAGTTGTGAGCAATCGGTAGAAGAATATAAAGTACATCGATGGTTTTCCGCCCCGACTAACAACAAACCGCTCTTCAACTATAACATAAACTTTTATTTTTATTGTTTTCCTACCGTCTCCACGAAAGTTTCGGTTGCGTTAAGAGGATAGCATCAGATGACAATTAGTTAAAAGTTTTATTTGTTTATTTGTTTCAACCTTATAACTATCACAAAATTACATCGAACAAATTCGCAAAAGGAATGAACCATTTTCCGTTTTATGTTTCATGTTGGTTGAGTTGCTACATTTTTATTTTTGGCGTGTGAGGATTATTGTATTATAACGTTGGTTTTGACATTTATTCTCCACATTTGTCGAAATTCAGTTTAATTTTGGTGTTAAAAAATATTTAAAACGAAACGTCGGGGAAAACACTCAACGTGTATTGTTTAATATAAATATAGGCATTGTATATAATATATGTTATGTTTTTGTGACATTTATATACAGGTAATATTTTTTGTAGCAAAATTTACACTTTCTCTTAATTAATTCATCATCATATTATTTTCTTTTTATCCAACGATAGTGTTATAATGATCTTAGATTATTTGTGTGTGATGTCAGAGTCAGAGTAGTTTATTATCATTAGGTTTCTTTATAATTATTATTAGTGTTAGCAAATGTATTTGTACCAGTCATTCAAACTTAATTTTAAACATTTAAAACATCTTTTACAACATATTACTTGTATTGGATACTTGTTTGGCTTAGTTGACTTTATGAAGACTTTGGAAGTAGTTGTGGGCGCGTATTTAAAAAATATATATTTATATTATGTTGAAATTAACTCATATCTTAGATATGTCTGAAATTTAACTTAGAAATAAGTGTTTGTTGTTTTATAATATTTCTTTCGTCTTGTATACTGTAATGTTGATTTTTCATCAACTTCTTGTTGACTTTGCGCGATCATTTTTGTTGCCATCTTTTCCATGAAGTTTGAAAACAGCGTAAAATAAGCAGTTGATGTTGAAATGCACGGAAAAATTTGAACGTATAATTTTATTTTAACTAGACTAGACTAGATTATTCAATATTTTATCAACTACTGTATCACAAGCACTTTTTTCTTAGTAGTAATCTTATTCACTTATTCACTTAATCAAATATTTACTTACACTTTACATAGTTTTGCCGATTTGGTTTTACACAATGTTGCTGTCGTAGAGCACCAGGCCGCGCTCCTCCTCGATGGAGGAGTCGGATGAATCCGAGCGCAGGTGTCACCACAGCTCAGTGACACTCGGCAGACTGCTCACCTCGATGAGCTCACCTTCGTGCTGGTCGTGCGGGTATGCGCGTAGAATTTGAAGGTCATCGCGCGATTTTCGAGACATGCGGGACGTGAGCGTGATGAGGATCAAGGTCGCGCCCATGATGCCGACGATCAGTAGATACATGCCTGGATGTGGTTGTTTCGGCCCCTCTGGTTGGCTGGTATAGGAGTACATGGATGCCTCGGTGTGACCGGTGGTGTTCTCTTGATGTTTGGTTTCCGTCAGCGATAGTGACTTGATTTGATTTGGTGCGTGAATTTCGCTATCATCTTGGCTTTTCGGTGGTGGTTTATGATCGTTAGCATATTGCGAGGGTTTTTTGCCGGATTCGCTCGAGTTTTTCATGAATAAATTACTGTGCGTTGCAGTGCTTGCCGGTGGGGTGCTTGAGATGCCCGCGATGATGTTCTGAGTGGTTTGGGTTGTGCTGGAGGCAGCGGTGACAGTTTTAATAGCTTTGGGCCAAATGATCGACTTAATAGTCGCGTCTAGGATGTCGTTCTCATCGGCCATGATCCTATTAAGCCTTGGTCGTGATGGAAGCACCGTGGTAACGTGCGCAGCCGGCCGTAAAATATTCATGACAAACGGTGGATTGAAAATATCCTCAACAACTTCCTTTTTTGCGAACTCATTTCGAGTTTGTTTTTGTGTTGGTTTTGCCTCGGTTGGTTTGCTTGTTGTTGGAGGGGTGGTTTTTGGTTGTTTTTCGTCAATATTTACCTCCTGCAAGCTTTGCAAATCGACTAGCAGAGTACCCCACAGTTCCCCGGGCGATTGACAATGCACATCTCTGTACTCCGCCACTTCTTGCAGACGCATCCAATCGGCGAGCCACTCTAGCCCGCTGCAGTTGAGCGTGTTGTCGCGTAAATGAAGCGAGCGCAGCTGCGGCAGATAGTGCAGTGTGTCTCGCGGAAGGGTTTCGATCGCACAACCGCTCAGGTCCAACTCCTGCAGTTCTCTGGCTGCTGCCAACGCGGCTGTGTCCCCCAACCATTGACGCGCTACTGTCGGGCTGCCGCTGAGATCTAGAGTAATCAAAAACTCAGTGGCGGGTAGAGGAAAAGCAGTTGCTTCGACTGTAACCATTGACACATTCAGCTGCGATAGTCGCAGAACTCTTAATTTTGATGGCCCGGCGAGGCAACCAGCTGGCAGCTCAAAAATTGGATTCTGAGATAAGTCCAGCGTGACCAAGTTTGGCACTTGCACAAATGCTCCGTCCGTAATCTGCTGAATATGGTTTCCACTTAGCAGAAGTACTTCCAACTGTGTTAACCCATCCAGATCCGCAGGGCGTAATGTTGCGATCTTGTTACGCTCGAGATGAAGCACTTGTAATCGTTCCGGCAATGAATGGGGCATCTCACTTAGCCGATTATCGGTCAGGTACAAAATGGTTAACATTTCGAGCCTACCCAGAGCATCCTCTTCGACTTGCGTCAGTTTATTGGAAGCTAGATCCAACAATTGCAAAAGAGGATATGAGTCCATGTCTCCCCTGCCTACGATTTGAATTTTATTTTCGGCCAAATGCAACGTTCGTATCGAATGTGTTAGTGCGCTTGGCACTTGCTCTAGTGCTATTGATGTCGCGTCCATGGTCTGTAACCGTCTACCGGTTGCGATGAACAGTGGCGATTCTCCATTTGACCCCAGTCGTTCATTGCCCGCAAGCACCAATCTCGTCAGAGTGGATAACTCCAAAGCACCGGGCGCGATATTGGTCAGGTCGTTGAAGGACAAGTCCAATTGTTGCAGGCTAGATAATCCTTTGAACGTCTCGTCTGCTAGCGATGTCAATCTGTTGCGGCTGAGATTGAGATGCTGCAGGTTGGTGAGGTTGTTGAACGCCTGCGCTTGGATTAACGAAACGTTGTTCTCGGCCACATCCAAGCATTTCAGCGACGATAAAGCGGCGAACGCGGCATTTGGGAGTAGATACAAATGATTGGCACTCAAGTTAAGCAATTGCACTTTGAAAGTCCGGAAATCAGGGAATAATCCGGTCAGAGACGTAATGTTCTTACGCGATAAATCTATCACCGAATTGTTTGACACTTGTTTCACTAACTTGTCTCCACTAACGTTAACATGATTGTGGTTAATGTTGATGATGGCATCTTTATTGTCCTTGTGTTGGACTGGTACTACATTCTCGACAGGGGTTGTTGTTATCGAAGGAAGACTTGGCTCTGTGACACTCGGGATGATAGTCTTGGATGTGGTTGAGTAATTTGTGGCATTTTCGGTATTTGTCTGTTTTAAGCTCACAAGAAAAATCAGCAGGACGAAAATGAAAGCGAACGATCGATGGCGGCTGATTCGAGTGTCGGGCCTCATGGTTGCAGCATTTTTTTTGCAAACCGCGTGAATGTTTAAATTAAAGTTGATGATTCGGCGCTTGCAGTTCGCAGTGCGTGCGCGGCGGATTGGTAATTAATTTAACGAACATCGCGTACGTGCGTGTGTCGTCTAAAGGTGCGTTGCGCGAACGGGAGGCGGCTGGACGACCGACGTCGACCGACGCTCAGCGAGGACTGAACGCTGAGGCGGCCCGGCCGGCGGCGCGCGGATGTTACGCGATTCGTTTCCGAGCGGCCGACAGCCACCCCCGACGACGGACGAACACATCCTGCCGCCTCCGTACTATCAAATTACTGTGGGTGGGTAGTGGGTGTATGTGTCGTGACATTTTTTGGGATTTCAAGAATATTCAAATCTACTTTGAATTGTACCTATTCTCTGTTTCTTTTAGAAATTTTTGTGGAACTATAAAATTAGGAGATATTCTGTATAATTTTATTCAATTACCGTTTTCTATTTTGTCTGGTTTAGTGATTGTTCTTTGTTATTTTCGAATGCATTTATTTGATTTATCATCTGTTTTATCACCATAAATCAGACAGGTTGGCATGGTGCTACATCCCGCATCGATGTTTTCAGTTGACTGTCTGCCAACCCGGTTTGGGCGCTCCATCCGCCCTCGCACGCTGGACACGATGCAGTGGCAATTTTTCGTACCTGTGGCGATCGAAACTGCGCCTCCACCACCTCAGCGGATGACTGATGGTTCTTTCGGAAACATTCTGTCTGTGCAATTTGTAAAATTACAAAAAATTCGATTCATTCGTGGTGCGATTACTTTCAAAACAAAAAAATGTGCTCTCATGTGCCAAAAAACTCACTCTTTTCTATATTTATCGAAAATTGGAAAAGTTTGGCGATAACACGGATTCGACACGGATAGTTTCTAAAGTTTTCATCTCTATTGTTGCAAGTTTTTGACTAGATTTGCTCTACTATATGACCGTGTGGATAGCCATCTAAGTGCTTGTAAATTGGCAATAAATATTTATTAACAGCGATTATTGATAATTCCGTTTGTGGCTGTTGAAGACCCCCTTGCTGGGGTGTGAGTAGTTGGTTGGTGGTTGTTGGGTCATGTTTAGCTGTAATGCTTCCCAGCGTGCGTTCTCGCGCTCCGTGGGTGCGTAATAGCCGGAGTGTATTGCCGTAGTTGACGGTAAATTCCCGAATCCCCAGTTATGCATATAACATAACCGAAATGCGCCCGCACTTTCTGGCATTACGCTCATTCCGTTAGGCAAACCACCGCGAGAGCACCGCCCCTGCGGTACGATTTATGTTTGATGTTGAACATCATACTTCTGACCTTGTCTGCACCAGCAGCTAACCACCATCCAGGGGACAATAGCATGTTGAAATCAACGTTTCTTGCTGTTTAAGAAACGATTTATAAATTAAAAATTAAACCCTTTTATGAGGAATAAATACGCTACAATAGGAAACGTCGAGTTTGCATTATTAAAACGTTACCTCTGGTACCTCACAATACCGGGCTTGATTTTGTGAATGTGGATTTTGGCATAATTGAGGGGTGAGCTCTACGCGGACATGAAAGTTGCTAATTGAAAGCACATAAATTCGTAATGCACCATCCACGCGTCCAACAAGCGAATCACTCACAGCACTCGTTGCGCTATTATACTGGAAATCACTCTCAACGAAAAACAAACAGTTTTCGTCTACACCCTCTCACAACAACGCACCTTCCATCGTTTTTGGATTCAATTAGTCAATCATTGTATTGTACTGTATTGATTCGATATTTTTAGATTCAGTCACATGTCAGAATTCTATCATTTGCGAACCCAATCCAGTTGATACTAAATAATGTAATAGGTATTGAATTTGGAACAGCGCGGGTGAAGATGAATATGTATCTCTGAGTCGCCAATCAATTTCGGAATTATGGTAATAAATGCCTGCGATTCGCTGGAGTGCATGACGCTGGCAGTGACTTCTCGCTGAGAGAATGAACGTGCATTGTACATGCGCCTACAATATGAATAATAGTCGTGGCGATGAGCCGCACACTGAGACTAGTTTATTGTTCACGATGACATGTAAATCTGGATGGTGCCGACTTAGACAATGTGGAAACAGTGACAAACGTCTTTACCGACGCACCACTCGCGTTTCAGGGATATCAGAGATTTCAGAGATTGATGATAATCATGCGCGAGGAACGGAATCATACATTAATATACATGGTGTGATGGATTGCAATCACCATTCTATTGTGTCTTAGACATAATATCAATGATGTCGTAAATATGTATTTCGGATCCGAGTGATTATTATTGTTAAACCTTTCATTTTACCTCATAATTCTTGGTTTAGCTTATCTTTCTTTTCAATGCGCTACTTACACGACTCTTATCTTGCCGGAAAAAAGGGCAAAGCTGACGAGGGTGCTTCCTGTCCCGTGACTATTTATTTCTATTTTGTTCGGCCGCGTGGAACGTCGTTGTGCATCGGATTATTACACCGATGCGATGCATCCGGCTTCGGCCGCATCTTCCCGACGCTAATAAATATAAAATATATCTCAGATACTTCCCTTGCGAAGAGGGAAAGTTACCATTGCCATGAATCGCCGACTTTCCATACTATCGCATTGTGTTGAATTCCGACAGCTCGAGAGAGGGTGTAACCTAGTGTAAGTTATTCTTTTTCTCTTTTGGATTGTGTCAGATTTCAACGCGGTCTGAGTGCTGCTGCAGCTGCATTCACCCTCAAAGTTTTCAGCTAGGGAATGTTTTCGCGTTCCTCGATAACAAATTGCACTTTTTGCTTTGACGGAAAGGGACAACAACAACAAAAATTGCAAGGATGGAAATTTATGGCAAGTAAAAGTTGCACCTTTTTTTAAGAGGGTTTCAAAGGTCAACTCCAAAGGACAACAAAATGCAATTTGGCGCAATAAATCAGGAATTTTAGCATTTAATTTTTGATTAACCTTTTCGAATAAAATGCGCTTACTTGGCCCGGAAATTGAAACTTTTTAAAACTTGTTAGTAAATAGTTTCTGCCGGAAATTAAATGTGAAATCAATAAAACTATTTCTATCAAAATGTCTTACACATTGCGTTTTCCTGGTTTTATGTGCGCTGCTGTGCATGGTTGGCGATTTTTCTTGTTTTTGGCTGTTGGCGGCGGCGGCGGCAGCAACGAGCGCAATTTATGCGTTTGTAGTTCACGACATTATACTCCCACTCGTCCCGGCATGGTTTATAGTTTATTGCCACCACATGGGTGATTCAAAATGTGAAATATATTTCAATCGAGTACTTTCCACGTACACCAGGACAATAAAGAGCTTTCTTTTCTACAGGATATTCCATAATTTTAGCTCAATTTACTTCGTCCCAGTTATCTGAACTTGTATTTTTCTTTGTACGATACCTCCAGATTTTCTTTAAAATTCGCAATGTTATAGAAAACTATAAAAAGTTATAAATGGATTCAAAAGAAAGATATTTCAGCGTTTTCAATTTCCACTTTTGGTTTTATTTTGCCTGTGACTCTATTTTTGCCAATTTATATTTTTATTTGCACAGAGTTTTTTTTTCTTCGACAATTTTCATGCATATGATGAAATTTTTATTTTATATCCTTTGATAATTCGACTTCATTTTGTTGCGCTTGAGTCGTGTGTTCATTACACTTTTATTTGCTTCAGCCTCGCTGCTTTATTTATTTGTTTTTCTTGCGCGCATTCGTATATTAGCCCAGTTTATGTGCTCGTCCCGATTGGAATTCGCATTGGAATATTTAAACCGTGCGGAAGAAAGCTATGTATGTGGATGTTGAGCATGTGTACATATGCAAATAGATAAGTTTGGATAAAGAAACGCGAATACGATACAAGTTTTCATTCCGGCAGGCAAACAAGTAAAGAGGCGGAGATGTTGTAGGAGGAGTGTAACGCTAAATTGAAAACATCAGACGTCGAAGAGTCGAAGCATCTAAGGCATCCAAGGAAGCGCTCTTCCTGGGTAACTTGGATATCGAAGTGAATAAAATAAGTTGGCAGGATGTGTTGCGTTGCAACGTGCATTCGCTGACATATTTTTTCATTGCATTGATATCCGGCACGGATGCTGAACCATCTGTGACTTTATACACTGGAATTGCTTATTTTATTTTTCGCTGAAATAAATATTCTAGACTTGATAAAATTCTCAGATTGTAAACGTTTTATCTTAAATATTATATTTCCTAGGGCAATATAAAGCACTAGATTCTCAGACAAACTTTGTATTACCTCTTCAGTAAATGCCGTTATGAAAATTCACCATTTCCTGATTTATCCGTGGTGTTTTCTTTTCTTCACGATTTCCAATATTGTAATTAGTAATTCTTGTAATCGGGGCCGAGGTTAATCAGAATCTAAGAAGATAAACTTTATTTTTTTTAATCATTATATTTCATTTTGGATTTAATTACTAGTGAAATATTTAACGAAATTCAAAGACTTATCCTGTCTTTTTATTGAGATAACACTGATATTACAGTATTGTGTAACTTTCTTAACACAACACAATATATAAAAATGTAAATAAATGAATATTATAAATTATTATTTTATATTAAATCTAAATTTCCCCTTGGTTAGATGTGTTTAAGTTATTCTTACTCTAGGTTTGTTCCAAAAATGTTATCTACATAGAGAAAGCCAGGAAACAACGCGAATTATTCACAGATTGAATAATAATGCCGAGTTTGGCGAAATGAGCCCGCTTCCTCGTCCATCCTCGTCGCGCATAATCCGTGGGCGGCAACGTCTTGTGTAATATGAAAGAGCAAGTTTCAGGCTGAACCCCCCTCTAAAACTTCCTTGACTAATTTATCGCCATATTAAGCAATGTCTACACTCTTTGAGCTACCTAATTGTCTCGCCGCTCCTGTTTCACTTGCTCTGCCTCGCTCGCGCGCTCATTCATTAATTATCATCTTAGCGAGGCGGACAAGGACGCCTGCACAAGAGTAAAACCCCGAGCTATATTGTTTATTATTTAATTTGTATTAAACTTCAATTACCCGTGCGCTAGCGTCGTCGGAGTCGTTGGTGTTTCCACCTAAGTTTCGTTAATTGTTAATTGTTTGTATTTGTGTATAATTAAAGTTAATTCATTGCTAACGCCTCGACTCTACG